GCAGGCAAATGGCCACATGTTCTAAGTTTGGTCGTCAATCTTCATTCCTAACTGCCTTTGTCTGGCAGGCAAGCCTGTTAGTGTTGTTGTTTTTCTACAATTTCCAGGGATCAGCTAACTGTGTAATTCATCTGTCTTCTATCTGGCGTGCTTTCTCTTTCTGTAGCGGAACATGTAAGTCAGGTCAGCGGTGTAACTTATGTGAACGGCAATGGCGTCGACGGAATTGGGCAATCTAATGTCTGCCTCTAGTGTTTAATTAGTAATTCTTAAATGGCGTGAGAGTTGTAGTTGAAGAAGAGGATGAGAAAAGCAACTATAGAAAGAATAAGAAGAAAGAGAAGATAAATAAGACAATGATGATGATGGTGCTGATAAAGGGGTGATGTTGATGACGAAGTCAAAGAACAAAACAGTGATGGTGGTAGATACGTAAAATAAAAAATAAAAAAATAATTAGAGGAAAGGGGGAGGGGACAAGATAAAGAAAATAGAACCATGACGAGGAAAATGGGTTTATAGATAATGATATGGAGAAGTAGAAAATGTCAAAAGAAAAAGAAGGAAGAAACAAGAGAATGATAATCTGGAAAAAAATCAGAACTAGAAAGAGAAGAAGCAGCAGCAGCAGAAGCAGCACAAGAAGAAGAAGAAGAAGAAGAAGAAGAAGAAGAAGAAGAAGAAGAAGAAGAAGAAGAAGAAGAAGAAGAAGAAGAAGAAGAAGAAGAAGAAGAAGAAGAAGAAGAAGAAGAAGAAGAGAAAACAAAGAAGAAGAAGACGAAGAAGAAAAAGAAGAAGAAGAGGAACATGAAAAAAAGGAGGAGAAAAATGCAAACAGGAGCAAGCAAGATTAGGAGGAAAAAGAAATGTGTCAAGTAGGAGGAAGAAGAAAAAGAAATATCTTAATAAAAAGAAACATACATTTGTTTCCACGTAAAACTACCAGAAACATACTTTGCGAATGTACTTAAAAATACCATCTTTGAAATTGCTTAACTCCACTTAGTGTGCATCTAGTGCTTCACACTCCACACATTACGAGGAAGTTATATTTATCGTTCATATTCATACTTATACGGGCAGTTATTAAAGTCACTGTCGCCGTCCAATATTAAGCAGATCTTTAATAATGAGTTTCGAGTTTTCGATTTACAGCTTTAAATCAGAACGTGTTCTATCAAAACGTTCCCTCCTAAAAATGTACCTTTGAAACCCTGATTAAGAAAAAAAAAAAAACAACCCACAAAAACAAACCTATTGTAGAGTCGGAACAACTGCAGCGATATTTAAGCGAATTTTCTTCATTTTTTGGGGAGCAAGCTTGGTTTTAAGATTTATTGACCGAGCAACCTACTAGCGGCAATTCTATATATTACAAATTGTACCCTCTCTTTAGTAATCAGTGATTGTAGTATCAACTGCTTGTAGTAACAACTGCCTGGCTCAAAAGTTGTGGCAAGATCAGGTTACAAACACTGGTGTACTGAAAAGGGCAGTATCAGAAAAAAATGTTTCATCTCCTTCTTCCTTCGTTCGCTTGAAATAGATAAATCAAATCTGCAATTCTGTCTCTAGCATGAACTTCCCCGACTGTTGTAATTCAGTCAGGGACCAGTAAAGTTGTCTTGTACCGATTTTTCCCGTGGCCAACAGTCTTTGCCCTAATATGTTGTACCTGTTACAGTCTTAAAGGACTTGATCTGATGTCTCAGGTGGTAATCCACATGTACACATGGCTGATTCGTCAATCTTAAATTGTGTGTACATGTAGCTACGAAGTCGACTGTGCCCTGTTTTAAGGCATAGAATAATGACTTTATCTGGTCTGTTCATAATATGGTAATCGTCTTGTGCCAGTTTTGTTGGCTTTCTGATTGATTTGATTATTTTCTTTTTTGTTATTGATAACATTTGTACTGTAATCCCATGCTCTAACTGTGGAATATTGGTTCACCCCACCCCCCAACCCGGGTGGGTCTTGCTAGACACTCGATATCGCCATGGTCTGTAATTCCCTTGCATCATCATAGAACACTATAACACCCTATTGACCGGAAAGACTGAAAGGTACCAGAAACCATGAGATCATAATCTATTTAAATGTGCAACTCTCGCACCACTGTCTTCTTCTTCGAGACTTCTGTCAGAAAACTTATATCAGGAGGCTGGTAGCCCTTATGAAAGCTATCGTACAGTCCATATCCTCTCGTGTACCACACATCTTTGTCTTCATTGTGGTTGGAACAGACCAGATTGCGTCTTTGTTGTCAGCATACAGTTGACAGTGGTGGAGCATATGCTCAGCATTTTCGGGTGCCACGCTGCAGAGACATGTCTCCGTGTTTCCTACCCTGAAAGGTTTTTACATGCTACCACTGTCTAAAAGCCGTTATAACGGTCAGTTTATGTGCCGCATACTGCAGAAATCAAATCCCTGTACATCGAGAATTTGATTTTTTTTTATAAGTCCCCAATAAGTCACCGAGCCAAAAAGTAATAACTATTGTAGGAATGAGTGTGTGACGTTCAACCCCACAAGGACCATACAAACAGCGATTAACACCCGGTGACACAAAGTGCCACCATTCCGATGAGAATTTAGGTTACACTAGGGTCCTCGATGACAACCTGGGTGGGGCTTTAAGGAGAAAAAAAATTACGTCACATATTTGGGCAGAATGAAGCTTAAATGTAGGAATACGCCAGTCATGAAATTTGAACGGAAGTTGTAAGCTACAGACTGGCTGACGTTCAACCCCACCAGGACATCACACCGAGAGATAAATACCTGGTGACACAAAGTGCCACAATTTGGATGAGGAGCTTCCTGGGACAGGTAATAGGAACCCGGTAAAACCCATATATTCGGTTACATAATGGTCCCCGGCCACAGCCAGCGTGGGCGTTAAAACAAAAAACAAAACAGAACAAAAACTGCTTCCGACATTTTGTCGCAGCTACCAAATTTGCTACAACAAATTAATTAAATCAAGGGAAGAAACTAACTTTATTTAACAAGTAACGTAATTGAAATAAAATTACTGCCCCTGTCGCATTTTGACAGACTTCGGCCATAAAAACACATTTGTCCTGGCGGCAATTGGCACTTATAAATTTGATATTTTTTTCATAAAGAGTAACAGCTTTTCGCTGTGATGGGTAAGAGTTTGATGCCTCAAAATCAAGTTAGAAAATATCATGTGGCTAGTAACATTACACATCCGCCCAAATATGGGACGCAAGATTAATTATTATATATATTTAACTTTCCGTCCTTTTTAGGACGAAATTTTTCGTTATTTGAAGCCCTACTCTGGCTCTTGCCAGGGGCCGCAATATAGCCTGGCCATAAATATGGCCTAAAGGCTGAACGCGGTTGCTGGGACCTCTCCACGGTGATCCTCACCCGCATGGTGTCACTTGTGTGATGTCCTGGTTGGGGTAGAAGGTCAGTCAGTCAGTCTGAGGCAAGATTTTATTATTTTACAGCCCCACCCTGGCTGTTGCCTGGGACCCTAAATAGAACCCATGGGTTGAACAGGGTTTCCGGGTCCTTCGCCTGGACGATTCTCATCCGAATGGTGGTACTTTGTATTACCAGATGTTTAACGCTCGTCGCGTGGGTCTGGTGGAGTTGAGCGTCATTCAGTCAGTCTAGGAACAAAAGTCTGTAGGATTAACATCTCAAGAATGAGAATCAAACAGGTTCAAATCTCGAAAACTCCGTTTATCTTTAAAACCATATAGAACAGGTATTCATCGAAACACCACAATACTATTAGAAGTAACCTTAGTCCAGTGCTGATGAGTCTAAATTTTTACTGACTGACTGACTGACTTTCTACCCCACCAGGACATCACACAAGCGATAAACACCCGATGACAAAAAGTGCCACCATGCGGATGAGGATCACTGTGGAGAGGTCCCAGAAACCGCGTTCAGACAATTGGCCATATTGATGGCCTGCCTATATTGCGGCCCCTGGCAAAAGCCAGAGCGGGGCTTCAAATAAAAAATAAAAAAATTACGTCCTTAGAAGGACGTAGGGAATACACACGATTACATTTTTAACCACAAGTCATAAAAGTTAACCAAATCGGCTTAGCACTCAAATTTGCTTTATCATATATTTAAATCAAGGGAAGAAACTAAAAATAACTAGTAATTCGAATTTTGTGAACATTATCGCCCCTGTCACGATTCGGCAGACGCCGGTCATCATCAGCTAAAGCGGAACATGGAAAAAGTGTGTGGTGAATAAAAACATATTTTTCTTGACAGCGGCTGTTTTTTGTGAGTTTGAAATTGTTTCTAAATAATGGTAATTCTCCATGTCTGTTCCGGGCCCCATCTGGGAAATAGGGTGGGGGAAAAAGGGGGGGGGGGCGGTGGAAATACACCCACTGTACTCCTAACAATCAATGTCGCAAAAGTCTATTAATTAGCTAACATTTTCTTTCGAAATTGGAGTGTTTCCGCCCGAAAATAAGAACGTAAGCAGAGTGTTTTGAGGATAACACTACTCATAATTAAAGCCATGTTATGTTAAGTTTGTCACACATGTACGGCCTTTTCTAACTGCTAAGCTTGTTTCTTTAACAGGTAGAAATAAATCAGACAATACAACCTAACAGTTGAATGGGGTTTCTAGGACGTGCTACCCGGGGAATTTTAATCATAACGGTGGCAGTCTGTGTCACTGGGTGTCACTCGTTGTGCTGTTCTGGTGCGTTTGAACCTCCCTAATTCAGGTAATCAGGACAATCGCCGCTTCATCTTCATAGCAAACGGGTCAAACCACAGTTGCTCCGTTCCTGTGCCAAAGAAAATCACACAGACTGTCCCTTACTGTCCCTTGTAGAAAAATTCCCACAATTACACAACAATGAACGCATAAAAAAGCTGTCAGAAGTACCAACACAGTCAGACACAAGAAATGCAGTAACCCTAAGCCACGAATGCCCATCTAACTTTGTGTAATTACAATAACTGCACTTACCTCTTCATGCAGAAACATGTAGAAAACTAGGAAGAATGCACCCTGTGAAAGAACAGAAAAAGGAAAAAAAAAAATAAGCATTATCGTGGCCATTTTGACACCATCAACATCATCTCCCCCCCCCCCCCCTTGTATCTAATCTATGATTATAATTGTAAATTACACAAGTATGTCATTAGTATGAATCCCAGGTGGACTGAGTGGTCTCGAGGCATAGCGTCGGCCTCGAATACTGGAGGTCCCGGGTTTAGGCAACCGTGAAGGTTGGTTTTTTCCACTGTAGACTTTGAGTAATTTCCCCTAGTCTCTGGGTAGTAAGATCGGACGCCAGTCTGTATTGTTGTACAAATAAAAAATTACGTTGGCAGTTGGGAATCGAAAAAAGATTAGCGAAACGGTGCTGTCCGGACACAGTTTGAAGTTGAAAAAACTACCCAAAGTATTCTAGGATCCTCGTCGGTGCTAGAGAGTTCGTGCACTGTGCTGAGAGTTTTCGGACTCAGGCTCGAGTTAGCAGAACGGAGCACTTGTGGGCTATTACCCTTCTGTCATGATGTAATAGAGTTCTTTAGTCGAGCCAAGTGGTCATTTCATTGTTCATGTGAGTAGATCCCCACCCATCCCATCTACCACCTTCTATTAAGCTTCTTATTCCCATTATTTAAATATCCACTTGCTCGTTACATATACATACACACATGTGTCTTATGCTCGACACTGACAACCAACCCTCCCCCCCCACACACACACACAACATGCGTACACACACAAACACACGCGCACATACACACACATAATATCCCCCTGCTCTCACACACACACACTAACACTTCATACCTCCATCCTCTCACTAACCACACTCACCTGCAACGATGTAAACATGGCGTACAGGTACTTGAGAATGGTATCCACCATCTTGATTGAGATGAAAGCGAACGCCCAGCACACCGTGACGAGGATCACCTGTGTCCACAGTGCCTTCATGTGAATGCTGCAACAGAAGTGTCTAGCTCAGGCATGGCTTTCATACACTAAACACCCGAATGAACTGGTGGAATGTATCAGCGGTCGTGTGATATTCAGTACTGTACAAATCGGAGATTTTACACACTCACACACACATACGCTTACGCACACGCATACTCACACACCTTACACACGCACGCACGAATGTACTCACACACACACACACACACACAGACACAAACTTTTCGTTCTCCCTACCAGCGGTGTCTGGATGAGAAGTCCACAGGATTCTATGAATGTCTGTGACACGACTCAGGTCTTTCACTGTTCCATACAACTTGGTTTCCATTGGAATGCCTACTGGCAAAACCTGTGATCTCTACATGTAGAGATCACGTCTGTGATACATGTTCAGTAATCTGCGATGTCTGTCCACACATACAGAGCTCTGAATTCTCAATCCTAAATTTCTCGTACCTGTGACTGCAGAGTCTATTGTTTCCAGCACGCACTCCAAATATAATGGCCTGTTTTCTTGGCTCTCTAGCGTAGTTGGCTAAACCGGACTGCGCGGTGACCGGGTGACGAACTCCTTGTGGTCCGGGTTCACTTCCGGGGGTAGGCAGAAAAGCCACATTTCTCCCAGATTTACGGTATTTATCATGGAATCAAGGCCGAAGGGTTGCGATATCCATAATACCGAGCCTAAGGGTTAACAACTCATGGCTTCTGGATACTAAAAAAAAAAAATGGTCTGTTTCTTTCGTATAAGGAAGTTGGTTGTATCTTCCGGATTTTTATCTTTGATGGATAGTGTTCAAATAGGATCTTACTGCTGCCTTGATCTGAGTTTAATTTCTCTTAAAAGTACATCCAGTGTTGTAGTGTTCTGTATGATTTCAGTTTTACTAAGTAGTGACTCTTTCATTCCCCTTAACGGTACAGTGGCCTGTGTTTATTACTTTATTACGTAAGATTGTATCCATTACACAGACAAATAGTCAGTAGTCTTACAATTTTTGTTTGGTCATGCCCTTAAGTATATAGCATATACCCCCCTCCTCCACCCCCGCAACATAACAAAATGTGATTAAAAAAGGAGTACAATTTTTCGGCAACAGTGGAATCTGAAAGTATGGAGATCGATTTTGGTCAAAACATTGATCTATAATTAAATGCACGTCTACTATATTGTTTAAATTGTTACTGGTACATGAACAAACTGCTCATGACAAAAAGGTAAATTTGAGCTTTTTATGTGTTTAATATACATATATATTGTCTATAATTACACTGAAAAACAAAAGTTAGCAATCGGATTACGACAAGTACAAATGTACTCAGTTTCCAAACTGCAATAATAAGTAGGCACGTTGAGAGACAGCTTTCAGAAAGACAAGATGAAACAAATACAATGTATCAGCTGCTACGTGGCATTCAATGTTGTTCCAGTTTGGAATTGTGGATGTCTTAACATGAATATTGTTGTTGTTGCTGCTGTTGTTGTAAGTGTATTTCGTATTACTGATTTTTCCAATTGTATTCATAAACTTTGAAGTATAAATACATTATATCAGTAAACTAAGAGCCCCTTCCTCCAGAGTCACATGTTCTAGTCAGGTCAGATGAAAAAATGATTAAAACTACAAGAGCCATTACTATCCAGACTGACTGACTCACGCCCCCTCACCTCATTTTCTTCCTCCGTTTTCCCCCTTCCCCATTTCCGGACGGCTACTTGAAAGTTAGGAAACACTGGGACCCCAACAGTCATGGCCTGGATATCAGTGCAAGAGGACAAACCGGAGATGACACTTTCAGACTCTTAACATCTTTTTTCTTATGTCTTTTCGTTTGTCCATAGAACTGCGGTTGACATGTTATGTTGTGATTCACAGTTATGCCTCGATATCTGCATCTTTCAGGCCGAAACGTCAGACTTCATAAAATATTCAAATATTCACTTTTACGACATGTATGTTAAGAGGCACTGGGTCCATTTTCACTCACCCCTCCTCGCATCAAAGAAAGCTCCGTTACCCACACAGGGAACACATGATTATTTTAGTGTCAATAATGATCACACATTTTACATATCTTGGCAGCGTGGTGTCCCTACCGGGAGGGACCCAAGAGGACACACAGTCACGTCTGAACAAAGCTAGAGCTGCTTTTGGAAGGATGAGGCAAATCTGGAAATCCAACAATTACTGCAGAGGAACGAAACTCCGACTCTACAAGAGCATCATTTTGCCAGTTCTTCTTTATGGAGCGCAATGGCTGCACACAAGCTGTCCGCCTTCCACTACACATATCTACGTAGAATTATCAAAATTTTCTGACCAGATACAATCTCAAACACTAAACTACTTCAAGTCACAAACCTATAAACTTTAGACAGTATGATAACCAAGAGAAGATGGAAATGCTTGGCCATGTTATGAGAATGAATTCTGATATACCTGCCAAAACAGCTCTCACATGGACACCAGAGGGAAAGAGAAAACAGGGGCGCCCAAAAACAACATGGAGACGAACGATGGAAAGTGACCTGAGTGCGGCATCTTTGACATGGAAAACTGCACTGAAGATTGCACAGGACCGGAAAGCATGGAAACTCCTCTCTGAAGCCTCATGTGCCACTAGGCATAACGAGAACTGAGGATGAATGATCACACTCATCATCATCAGGTGCCTGGCTCCATAATCCACGATCTCTTGCAGCATGTATCAGTTCGTGTGCTGACACCACTTCCATGCCATTCAACAAGACTGTCAAGAATCTTCTCTCGTTGTCTTCCTCTATCCCTCCTTCCACATATCTTTCTAGTGGTTACTATATGTATCTTTTAACAGCTAGGTTCTGGATTATCACACTTCTAGTGTAATCAGGTAAACGCAGTTTTAACTTCATAGCCAACGAAAACTATGCATACTGTCCGCCACTGCCCATTGTGAAAAGAAAGTTGACACACGCTCATTAAATTGATAATTTTTTTTTTACTGGGTCGGTCTCCAAAATGCCCAGCCCGGCAGCCCAATTACCCTGAAGATATTACGTCGGTAATCCGGACTAAACGGGAAAACCGCCCAGCAAAGTTTTTTTTTTTTTTAGATTGGCTTTGCCGATTGGGTTTTACCCATGAGCTGGTTTGTGACCGATCCCGGTCCTTTTGGCCAGACCAGTGCAGCAGAGCTACACTTTGATCTTAGCCAAAAGGCTATGCATAAGGCAGCAGTCAGAAGTGCCAACACAAACAGTCCGATACTAGAAATGCAGTTCATCGTAGATGAAAGCAGCAGTTACAACAGATCAGTAGTTGCACACACAATTAAAGCATAAGGCACCGCACGTTCTCTGGCAACAGGCCCCTCACCATTTCTGAATCTTCAGTTCCCAACATAAACCACATCGGGTACAGTCGAAAAGCTATTAAATTAAATCTGCCACATACTTAGTATAACCCTGATGAACCCTGTTGTAGATGAAGAACGAGCGAACAAACAAACTTTATTTTCAAAGGTTAAGAATTGGGCTAAAGGGCCCGTCTAACATTCTGTCCTTCTAGTCTCCCCTTTGTAGACATTATTACATTCATAGATCAAGTATTAGTAAACATTTTCGGTAGCATCAAAATATTCATTACAAGCACTGGAATGTGCACATTGCAACTACAGTAAACCGTAGTAGTTGTAATTAATCTAGAGGAAATGGCGTTATTTCAACCATATTTTTAAAATTTTCTACGGTGTCATGTTGTCCTCTATGCTTAGATAATATTCGAACAGTTTCCGATTGTATGTATAGGGACTAGTAGTTTTGTTGAGTTGTTGTGGAAGATAGTTCCACAATTGAGCTGCGGAGTACTATAAACTTGTTCTGTGTAGGTCTATCCTAGGTTTATGGATATGTTTAGGCGTTTACTGTGTCTTCCATTATATTTAAACAACGTCCATAAGTAACGTGGAGCCTTTTGGGATAGTATTTTGTGATAAAGATAGGGTGTACTTACTTGATGATTTTATTAGTTTTGTCACTTTTCGTGTAGGAACTTTCATTGTGTTCCTTGGCTGTGAATATCAACACTAGGACTGTGATCTAGAAATAGACAAATAATAACCTTTATCAATGTATACTTCGACATGAGACATTCATTTAAACATTACTGAGGCGTGATCAGTTTGCACGTGTAAGCATTGGCAGGTAACAATTACATTGTGAGTATCACGTGAAATTGTCTCCTCGTCGCTTATTTGTTGAAATAATACGTGCGCACCTAGCATTGAAATACTGGTAACTGGTAGCTAGCTGGCACACGTTACAGTTTATATATGAGTAGCAAAAGCATGCAACAGCCGTTTTTTTCACTACGTTAATAACCCTGAACAAGCGGTACGTGCTCGGCGAGAGATAGAGTTGGGTATTTGTAATAAATGGGGAAAAAAAAATAGTAAATAGTAAACAATGTGTTTTTATTTTCTTTTTGAAAGTGCAAGCGACGATTCCCCGCATACCTGGCTATTGTATTCAAATAATGTTTTTGTTTCGTATTTAGTCCTTACAGAAAGCATCAAGTTGATATTGATACGGTCAAAGCGAGAGAAGATCTTATGTTACGTTATGTTATCATCGTCGACGTCTTTGCACACTGGGTATCCCCATGCGTGCTCAGTACTCCGATGCCGCAGCCTCTCCGAGGCACCTCTACCGATTGTTCCCATGAAATGTTGGTAATAATATCTCATGTCTTTACTTCGAAGACGGCATAGTCGTGGTTCACTAAGCTCAACTCCTTGGTCATGCAGTTGTGTTAGCTTCAGAGATTCGCCATTGTCCCCCCCAAACTAGTCTGTACAATGTTAATGATATCAGCTCTGTCTATGCTTCTTTCCGTTAGAGAAGACAAAATAGCCTACGTAGCTTCATATTATTCATTAAAAATTAGGAATACAATTATATTAACACTTAATTAATCTGCCTGGCGGTTCTCTCTCAGTGAGCGCTCATAATGTATGCTATCGTTTTTATCTTCATCGATTTGTCAAAGCGAAGTTAATTGTATCAAACCGTGGCTTTTTATAGCCCATAGTATAAGTTAGTTGCGTATCCTTTACAGGACGTTGCAGAACCAAACCCAACAGCCCCTGGCTGTAATGTGGTTTCTCTAGGCAAGTTACATCCAGTAGTTTAGCCCATAGTATAGTCGTTTGTTTTCTTTCTGCGCCGCCTTGTTTAGGTACCTAAACGTTTGCTGCAGATTCAAAGGTCGTGGTTTCAGATGCTGTCAGACATTATATATGTATATATACATACAGGTCTTTGCTGACTAGCGTGGGCGATTAGACATGTGAACATCTCGCGATCATTACATTAACAGCTTGTGTCCGCTTTCCATATCATGAAGTGAAATTGTTAAGATTATCTCTCTGTCTTTGGCTATTTAACGTTTCATAAATTTTCCTAGCTGTCACACATTTTTATTCAGCGATCATCTTTTGCAATGCATTTTAAGGAGCATCTAATTTGTGGCTAACAAATAGTGAGGTGCGCTCAAGGCCTTCACCAACGCCCCAGAGTTTGCTTTTATTACGTCAGCGTCATCATCATGTACGCTGCCAACTGGCTAAAGCGCTCATGTCTAGAGATCACCATCCCTGGTTGCCTGGAATAGCTCTCTTGGGTATATCTTCCTGCCATCGTTTCAGCTCATTCAGCATCATCTCTCTTGGTCTGCCTCTACATCTTTTCCCACTGATCTTTCCAGTTGTCACAATGCTCTCCAGTGTCTCTCTTCTCATTATGTGGCCAAAAAACAGTGTTTGTCTCTTTCTTATTGTCGTATTTAGAGATCTACTTTTATTAGCCTCTTTCAAACAATCGTTGTTAGTTACTTTGGCCGTCCAAGGTTATCGTAACATTTGTCTCAGAAACCACATCTCAGTTGCTTCCAAATTCTTCCTTATATGTTCAGTGACATTCCAAGATTAACTGTCATACAGCAGAACAGGTTTTTGTAACTTTTTAGCACCATCTTTCTGACATTAAATGAGAGCAATTGACTGCATAAGATATTTTTCATTTTCTGAAATCATAGAAGATTATTATGGCCTGGAGAGAATGAGGCATCTGGGTGTAACCAGAGATTCTGGCCGGCTTACTACACTCAGAGCATAGGCAAGACGGATAATAACCAGATTGTGACCGGTACCATCAGTACTAGAACTCTGAGCTGGCTGCTGAAGATGAGGACGGAGCTTGCATGGGAATAACCCGAGTGCTGTGAAGTCAATTCTTGACTCAACTTAACTCAAACCTATTCAGTGCAGATATGCTGTGAGTTTGGTGTTCAATGCTCCCAACAAAGTACCTACCTACACATACATCATTCACGTTGGCTCTTCATGAAATTCAAGACAGTCTTCTGAAAAATCACATGTATAAGAGTCTACACACAGGCACTCACATCGGCACACACACTCACACACATCCACACACACACCCACACACACAATACAAGAAAAGCTCGCATAGAT